CATCCAAGTGAAATATCGCAGAGGGAGAGAAAATTATTTGCCAGATGTTTCGTCCAGATGCGGAGCAGGGGAAGATTTCAGGGAAAAAGAGCAAGAGGAAAGGGAAGAAGAAAGGGAGCAGGGATTGATTAGGACTATGGTTGGAATATCTAGAGGCGGGCCGGTAACGTGGGAGGAAATTAAAAGGATTACTTTGAAAGATCGAGAATTGAGGCGGATCAAAGCGTATCTTAAGGGCAGCGTCTACATGACAGAATTTTCACTGGATGTAAACCCCCTTCAAAAACCTTTGCCTACCCCCCCCCCCCCCTAAAAAATTCATTTGGCGGCGGTGTCTCTTTATCATTATGTTGACCTATTTATTTATTGATACTATTTTCAAAGAATTTATAGAGGATAACTTAAATTAATCTATCTCTACTACCAACTATCAATATTTTGTGAATATAAAGAATTTATTTTTTAGATAATAAATTCAATTAAAACCTCCATTATTTACAATGAATTAATTATTATGGTATTATGAGCTTGCTAAAATATCTAAACTTTTAAATTACAGTTTATTTGGAAAACAATGTGTATGATTGTTTGCAATCTATAGATTTGGTCGATGAATTGTAGTATAATAATACTATACTAAAAGTATTAATTTTTACAGAAATAAATTTTATCCTATTTCATCTCAAAATTTGATAGATAACCCCCCAAAAAATTTATCCTACCCCCATTAAAGCAGATTACCCCCTACCCCCTTAAAAAATAGGACGCAAACTGTTCCTACCCCTCCCGCTCATTTAGACGCTGCTTAAGGGACGTAAAATGTGGCAAGATGGGGATAATACCTATAAATATATACAAAAGGAATTGGCCATAATAGATGAATGTTTGGTGCGAGGAAATAGGAGTGTTATACCGGAAAGATTAAGGGAAGCAGTAATGGCCATGATTCATGCGGGACATCAAGGAATGGAAAGAAACAATGGGGACGGGAGTATGTATATGAGTCTAGCTTGTGTTAAATGTAATTCTTGGGCTCCGATGCCTCGAAAAGATAAGGAAAGTGAATGGCCAAAGGCAACGCAGCCCTGGGAGCGCATCCATTTGGATGTCTTTAATAAAATATATCTATTGGTGGTGGATGCTTTTTCGAAATGGGTAGAATATGAGAAAGTACTACTCAAATTGTGATTAGAGTGTTGAAAAATTTATGGGCCAAATTTGGGGTCGCGATGATGATAGTCTCGGATGGGGGTCCTGCTTACATTATTAAGCAGTTCAGAGCCTTTTGCGTAGAAACGGGAGCGAAACATATTTTGGCGCCGCCTTATCATCCGAGTTCAAACGGAAAAGCAGAGAGGATGGTAGCTGTGGTCAAGAATTGGTTGAGAAAGTCAAAGGATGGAGGTGGGGAGATGTGGGTGGCAGTGGCGTATTATAACAACAGTAGAAAAGGAGAGGAGCCATCGCCGGCGAAGAAGTTTTTAGGACGGAGAACTAGAATTTGATTGGATTCGTTGAAACGGACAAGACAGGGAAAGAAGCTGTCTGAGGCCGGGAATGAATCGGATTTAAGGTAGAGCAAACATTTGAAAGTAATAAGAAATAGGAATCCGGAGTGATCGTGGAGAACATGGGACGAAAATTAAATCGAGTGAAATTCACCGACGGAAGAGAGGGAGTATGGCATCGGGATCAATTGAGGGCGTGGAACCTGAGAGGTTACGATCGGGAGTATACGATCGGGAGTATCAATAGGAGGATGTACTTGATCAAAAATTCAGGGTGGAAAAATATTCATTTTAGTATGGTGCGCAATATATCCGGGAAAAATTGAAGGGGACAGTGAAACCAGAGTTGTGGTAGCTCATTACCAAGGTGATTGATAATAATAATAAAAATAGCCCAATACCAAGGTGATTGATAATAATAATAAAAATAGCTCAATACCAAGGTGATTTATAATAATAATAAAAATATCGGGGTGATTGATAATAATAATAAGGGAATCAACCATATAATGGTTGATGGGGCAAAATAGTTAATGGATTGTACAAACGATAAATGAAGCCAGGTTGAACTAGGATAATTTCTACAGGAAATCGATAATAATGACACGCAAAGGGAGGAAACTCAAGAAACTAACCACCGTATAAATTCGTGAAAACACCATAAAGGGACGATAAATATGCCGGGTGAGAGGTGAAAGGCGAAGGGTTTTCAATTAGTGGGAGCGTGTTATGTGTATCGTGTTAGCGTGGACTCATTTGTATAATAAGCAGTTTATTCTGTGATTTAATTTTTTTTTTGATGTTGTTTGCGCATTCAATCTTTTAATTTTTATTTGTGATTAATATTTTTTGATTTTTTTTTGCGCATTCATTCTTTTAATTTTTATTTGTGATCAATATTTTTTGTTTTTTTTGCGCATTCATTCTTGTGATATATTATTTAAAAAATTGCTATTTTTAAATTAAAAAAATTATTTAAATAGATATTTATATATAGAAAAAAAAAGAATTTTTATTATTATTAGTTTTTTATTTATATTTTGAAAAAAAGGAAAAATAGAAATAAGGATTATTAGGATTTTTTTTATAATTTGAAAAAAAATAGAAATAAAATATTGTTATAAAGGAAAGAAAAATATAAGCACCAATATAATAAGTAAAAAAGAAAAAAAAAAGGCGAAACTTTATTATATCTAATAAAAATATATTTCATATTTGTTCCAGACTTATTATTTTTATTAAAAATATCCTCCTATAATGTAAAAATATGTTATGTCTATATATAGACTAAGATAACCCGGCCGAAGGCCTGGCAAATACGGGCCAGAGATGCGCCCAAAATGAAGTCTGAGTATTTTATTTATTTTTTATTTAGATAGAGACTGCCATATTTGGTCATAATATATATTTAAAAAATAGTAATTTTCGGAAATGGTCTGTGGTTTAAATATATTATGACCAATGCCAGTCTCTATCCAAATAAAATAAACAAAATACCAATTGGCTCGGTACTGCGTCAGTAGTATCTATCATAGATTTCATCATGAAAATAAGAATTTATTTTTTTATCGAATTCGGTTAGTTTTTAGAAAACACTTTTTATGTTGACATGGCGATAAACATTAATCATATAGGGTGGATTTAAGTTTAAATTATTTTTAAGCTATTTATACCGTACCACCTTATAAAAGTGGATGTAAAGCTTTAAAGTATATAATTAGTCTAATGGTAACTCTTATTAAAAATTATAAAAAAATTATTAATAATCACGTATAACCATTTTTTTGCCTATTTATAAAAATTATCAGCGATGGATACATAAATACAAGATGATTGTAGGAGATAGTACATATTTCGGGACGTAATTTTGATGGGGATGCCATAATAGTGTAATAAAATAAGTAATAACATTTATTTTAGTATTTTCTTCCCATTTTATACAAAGGACAGAAAAAAATATTATTTCAAGCGCTTTTTATGCCAGACCGATGAATAAATACTTAGTAAAAATAAATAAAATAATAATAGCTAGAAATATTATCGACCACAAAAAAAAATGACTAATATATAAACAAAGGTTTTAGAGCTATTAAATATAAATAAAGCAAATATAACATGATCTAGAGAGGGTAATTATCTACATCTATTGAAATTTGCCTATCCAATTGTATATCTATACATGGCAAATTAATTTTAATAGTTCTTAATTATTATTTAAAAGGATTGGGATATAAGAGTTGTAAAAAACACCTTTGATACCTTATTTCGAGTCTTTCACCTTTGGCTAGATCCACATCCATGAACTATTCAAGGACAGAGGATATAAATTTTAGATTATTCCATCTTAAAATTTCAAATTTGAATTAAAATCACGAGTTATGGCTCAACATTCTTTTCTCATTACCATATGGATTCAGCAAATGTTACACTGATGATGACAATATGGCGCCGCATCCTTTACATTGCAATCGTAATCCAGATCGGCAAACTCAGCATTCAAGGTGCAATCAAGTCATATCTCTTGACTTAGGTCAGCTCGATTTACAATCTCATTGGAGCTTTCTGATCATTTCAGGTAAGCATCCTTATGGAATCAGACGAATTCCATGGTCACAAGGAAAGTGCATAGGAATTCACCTTCCAATTTTAAAAAGGAAGCTCTGAACAGAGATCAAAATAGTCAAATAACAGTGTTGATTCTTCTAAATAACATTCATACCAATCACTTGCTCCACTATAGCAACCTGGTTAAAAAATTCTAGAGTTCTTTATCCAAATCAGAAAAAATTCTGGGGAGCCCTTGAGAGCTTTTACTTAAGGCAGAGAATCATAACTTAGGCTAATTATGCTTGTTTTATTAATTTGATCTCTCCTAATTAGTGCTTTTAAAAAGTCAGATTTGTGGCGGATTTTTAGCAACACTACATCTAATAATTAGGGTTTTTCTCCTCCTAATGACATTCCACCTCTTATCTTCGTGCTATCAGTTTCTTAAATTAAATGTATTTTTTTACTTCTGTGATAATTATGGATATTATAATATATCGATTAAATATTAATATTCTATTCTATAAAAGATTATATAATAAAATTTTGATTAATGATTTATAGAAATATTTTTATAATATATATTTTTAACTTGTTAATTTAAATGTTAATAAATTGTTGTCGCAGTTAATCAATTGTCCAATATTAATAATATTGAAAATAAAATTAATTAAAATAGATTATTATTAAACAAATCATCCATTCTATCGGGTGTATTATTACGCGTAATAAAAACCGTAATAAATATGGATATAAAATGAAGTATAAGTTGTAGATTGAAAAATATACTATAATTTCCATAATTAAAATGGTTATTACATAATAAGATTTAAGTTCAACCTAAATTATAACGACAAGGAATAATGTTGTTATTATAGAAATTAACAATGCTGCGCATGCTCACAAAAAAATAATACGCCACATGTAAGTTTTCCCCAATATTATTATCGCTTATTTTGTTAATTTTTGTTTTTTTTACAATTATTCAATTTTTATCATTATTCTTACTATCATTTTATTTCTACGCACTTATCGCGCTTTTTATAATCATTTAATATATTATGTATAATTTTGAGAATTCTTTACTGTGCTTAATATGTTAATTATTAAATTTGTAATCATTTCTCTATTAAAACCCTTAGTTAATCCTTAATATGATTGTATTTTTAATATTTATTATGAGAAAAAAGCATAAATTTAAGATCTTTTACTATATTATATTTTAGTGAGATGACCTGATTTTTGGATGGTATGGCTAATGGAGTTAATACAAAGTAATATATTGTAAATTGAGTTTAACTACCTTTATTTTAAGGTTGTCTGAATTGGTTAAAAGTTTAAATGTAAGATATTTTATTTGCTAAGTAATATAAAAGTTAATTTAGAATGACATTCAAGATCAAATATCAAATGAATATAAGGATTTAAGGCTTAATCACAAATCACCCATCCAAATTGTATCTAAATTAAATACTATGGGCTATGAAAATAATAAAATTCTAGAGCTAGAAAAGCAAGCTCATTCCTTAAAAAGAAAATGTAATTTGGAGCCTTTATGCACTCCACCCAAGCAATATACTCCATTAGTGTTGAATTCTACATTCAAATCACCATTAAATGGCTTGGGAAATTTTAATGGAAAAATTATTAATTTAAAAGAAAATGGTGTTAAAAATTTTTTACCAGATTATCAAAATTTTGATTGCACTGCTCATAAAATTACAATACTTAACAAATCTATCAATAATTATACCACTCTTCCAAATTTTAACATTACATCTTTATCAAACCTCATTCATTCAATTAATAGAAACAAGCCTATATCTGCATTATCAAATTCTCCCACAATAAATAGTTATCCTAAATCATATCCACACAACTACTTAATTCTCAACAATGTAACAGATTCTAATAAAGCGAAAGCAGTCACTAGTCAAATTAATCTTTTTAATCTAGCTAAGGGTACTTCTATAACACAACTTAATATTAACCAAGATGCTCAAGTTGCTATACTACAAACTGATAATGGCCCAGCTCTTGTAAATTTATCACAGCTTTCATTAATTAATAATTCAAAAATAAATTCTACATCTTTGAATAAGAATGAAGATACTTCAAATATTACCAATCATATTGATATTAAATTGCAAAATTTTACTTCTACAACAATTTCAAAATCTTTATATAATGAAACATATTCCAAAAATATTTGCAAATCAAATCCATTAAATTCAATCATAAAATTATCACAATTTAAAAATGTTTTAAAAACAAATACTAAAAATAAATTGACACCAAATCCAAGTGAATTGAATAATACCACACAATTTACTACTTCAAAATCTCTGGAAACATCTAAAAAATTTGTTAATGGTATAATCACAAATTTAATTATTTTTAAAAACCATTATATAGATTTTAAAACAAATCCATATTTACAATCACACTTTATTTCAGATGTCTATTGTAATTCCAAAAGAATGCAGTAAAAATTTTATAATTTTTTTTACACCAAATGTTTTAGTGTTCACTCACAATTTTTACATGATCAAAAGTGTGTTACAGAACCAAATAAATTAAAATTTTTAACTTTTAAAGAAGCTTGTCAAGGTTTAGTTCCTTACCATGTTTACAATTGTGATAACATCATATTAGATAGAAGTAAAACGTTTTTTTTACTTATTTTATATATCTTATTTATGAATAAAGATGAAAAAATATTTGACTGTCTAAATCATGGATTATCAATTAAGAAAAGCTCCTTATTATCAAAATATCAGCACCTTTTTTGGGAAAAATGTTTGGTAAAGATCATATCTATCATATAATGTATATATGAAATTTTTTTAGAAATCATCAAACACATTAGAAGATATTTTAATTGATAGGTTATGGCTTTCATCTGAAAAGGAAATTCTCTCCCAGGATAAAACCAACTGTGAACAAATAGGTATTTTAATTTTTGAAGGTTTATACAAAATACTGAGTTGTTAACAGTTCTTTATAAAAGGAGCAAGCTGTCTCCTTCTTTTACTCCATTCTAAATTTGAAAAAATTATAAAGGCTTGGTCTAGGGAAAAGAATTAATTTTCTTTTATAACAATTTTGTGAATAATGGAACTCTTAAATTACTTTTTAGTTTTTATAAAATTTTAATATAAATTATTTATATGAGAAACCCAAATGGTGTATCACTCACTGATTTGTATATATAATAAATTTAATATTATTTATATGATGCTGTAAACATTTCTAAAAAAAATTAAACTCATTCATTGACATAAATCAAACGCGTTTAATGTTCACTTTCCAAAAAAGGAACGTTTTCACTTTCGATCAAAACTATGAATAATCTTTAAAATTTCATTTAATATTAGTGCTGATAAGTAACGTCACAAAAATTATGAAAATCAATTGATGCTAAAAATAAATAAAAATTATTACAAAATATCTTATCCTATAATATATTATTTTTGTATAATTTTATTTATATAATTTATAGAAAATTTATATATATAATATTCAATTTTTCAACAAAAGCCAAGGATGCTCGTTCCTTTACAAGGTAACGGTAACGCGTTACTTTTTTTGACGTAACGAGTAGCGTGTTTTTTTTGAAGTAACGTTTACAGCACTATTTAATATAAATAAATGCCTTATATTTTTTAACACATTTTATATTAACCATGTTAATTAATTTGATATAAATATCATTACAGTGAATAAATAAATTTTTTTTATTAAAGAATTTCTTATTAATTTTTAATATATAAAATTTCTTATTAATTTTTAAAATATAAAATTTATTTATTTATGAAATATATAAATTTTTAAATTAAATTGTATTTAATAAAAATAAAACCCTTGAAAATAACTTATATAATAACGATTAGATTATAATTTAAAGGGTCACACTAAAAATATGTTATATCTAAGTTTATAATGTATAATATTTAATTATTTTTACTTTATATATCTATTTAATAAAATAATCATGTTTTAATATGCCTATGAAATGAAATATCACAATCCAAAAATTAATTAAAGGAAATTAAGATTTTCTAAAATTGAAGGAACATAAAAAGCTAGCGCGTTCACGTTCAACATGCGTCGAAAATAAAAGGAACGCCATATCATTTCAACAAGAACTTTTTTTTCGCGAACGCGTTTGTTTATAACATTTACTATATCTCATTGATACCCAATAATCTAACATTCATACAAGATAGTCTAAAAATTAATAAATATTTTAAATTCTTAAATCTCACTTAAATGATATACATATCAAATTATCTAAATATATTTAATATAAGATGCACTTAACCCGCCTTGAACCTAGATTTAAAAAGACAAAATTTAGAACGGTTCAAGAAAAATTTTAAACAAGTTAAGTTCTGTTTAGGTTCAAATAAAAATTCTAAAAACCTGGGTTTAGGTTATATTTGCCATTCTAATTCTAATTGTTAGGCTTGAGAAAAGTTGAGCTGAAAATTAATATATTTATTACTTAATAAATTGGAGGATTGTGGTAAGAAATTCCACCTTGTTGAAATATTTAAATTAACAAACTAATCTTTGGAGGAGAAGAATGCATATTAATCTAAGCTTTCTGATTTAAGGTCGCTGATCTATTATATATTATAGATTATATTCAGGTTATGTCCAATACAATAAAATAAAATGTTATTTTAATCGAAAAAAAGATGTACAAAACATATTTCAAGAAAAATATTTAAAAGTTTCAAATAAAATTTGTCAAAGTTTTAAAAAATTGTAGTTTTGGGCGCCTAAAATAAATAAGCTTTTTTAATCGAAAATTAAGTACATGTACATAACCATTTTTTGATATGTAAGTTTCTAAAATTTAATATACGATATCCTTAAACATTATGTAAGTTTCTAAAATTTAATATACGATATCCTTAAACATTATGAAAGTTTGGGAAATTTATTCGGAATACGAGGATTTGGGAACGCAAGGTAAATCCGATTTTTCACATTTAAAAATCTCCCTTTAAATAATTTAAAATCCTTACATGAGGATTGGATAAGTTGTTATTCCTGAAAATTATCACTTACATAATGAAACTTATTGATGTTTTAATTTATATGTATATTATGTATATATTTTAGGGCCTGAATATATAATAAACATCTTAACACCTGAAAAGATAACTCAAATATTATACCCTAACTTCAAACCCGCATTTCACGAAAATATTTTTACAACCCAAAACAACTTTGAAAAATCCAAAGATTTTATTTTTGAAGGTATATATTTCAAAAGTATAATAGTCAGGTTTTACATGCTTACATTAGGTAACACTTTTAATAACTACGCCAAAGTTTCGACTTCCAATGGCGCTAATGTGGAATGCGCACTAACAGACACCGCAATAAAGAGTATCCTAGATCATTCCATATTAGGACTTAGTAAATACCCTATATTTATCGATCCAAATATATCAAATTACCAAGATAATAATGATAATCAAATCCAAGAACTCGTATGCCCTTTGTCCGAAAATTATAACATATCTAAGAATGGAACAGATGATATTGAATTGATAAATGCCCTCAATTTAGTTGCACCTCAATTTAACTACGACGAAATGGAAAATTGGGACAAAAACGATGATTGTCAAATCCCATCATCACCCATTTATGGTTCTAATACTTCAAATATTTGTGATACTTACCATGATATATCTTCGAATATAGGTGATGCCGAGTCATCCCATTTGGATATGAATCTGTCTATAGATATGGCCCTAGAAGAAGCCGTTAATAGTATATTATTTTAAAGAGAGCTCAGAATTATATATTATATATTGACTCCGTTAAATGCAAAATATTATATTTTATTCAATTTTTCTCGATTCCAATTCACATACTGCATTGCATTTTGTTATTTATTAAACCCTATATTGTAAAATATTGAACTATCTAAATTTTATATAATTCATATAAATATTAGCAATAAATTACTCGTAATAAGTATCATCCTTTTTTTAAAAATATAATATAAAATATGCAAATTTATGTTGCTAACGTTCTAAAAATATAATTATAGAAATTAGTTAATTATGTTTAAAAGAAATCATACTTTCACTTTTTGTAGATAGCATAATAGAGATATATAAAATTTTTAAACTTTCAATAAAGATACCTAATCAATCGTTGATATGACTTTTATTTGTGATTTCGGAATGGAAATTTCTATATTTTAATCTTAAAAATGGGTGTATCATATCAGTTTAAAACTAATAATGTATATTGCATAATATAATTTTTAAGAGCAAATAAAATTTTCATTTTTTTAATGGTTTATCAATAACCGACCATTTTTTGGATGAGTCACTAGATAAATTTTTTATTAGTCATATTAGCTTAAATTTTTAATTATCGATCATATATAATTACAAATGTTTGTAAAATAAGCGAGACGATGACACATATATCTAGTGAAATTCTTAAATATTACTTCTTACTTTGCTAAGTTCATGTCTATATTTTCATGGGGAAAAACATTATTGTACAAAATAATTTATTATTTAAATTAATTTTATTTTTCTTATAATTTAAAATAGAATATAACCTTTTGAAATAGGAATACTTAACAATTCATGAGAACCTTTTATAATTTATGGGAAGGGGCGGGAGGTACTTCCTTTGGCTACGCGTCTTATGGAAATAGGAAAAAAAACTCCAGATAAAATAACCAAGAGGAAAAAAGCCCCTGAAAAATTTGAATAAAAATGTCAATTTTTTATCAAATTTGATGCTTATAAATAACACTTGAAATTTTTTTAAAATAACATAAGATTGTTTCAGGCCAAACCTCTTCACGAGATTTTCGAAGAGTAGCGGGGAGTTCTTAGGGATGCTTTATCATATTATATAAGGGGGGGGGGTAAAGTAAGAGGGGCTAGTTAGTGGGTGAGGTAAATGTGGATTCGATTTTTCCTTTGCTGATTTTTATTTCTTTTTTTGATAATTTTTATATTGATTTACTTTCATGAAGGAGTGGGGAATAGGGTGAACAACATTGTTTTCATATACACTAATATTTTAGTATACCATGGCAAAATATTGATAAATAAGTTTATAAGCTAGTGCCACAATCAAAAAATAAAAATTAATAATCAGTTAAAATAATGCTATAATTCCTGGTATTTATATTTAGACAATTAATCATTTGTATATAAAAAAATATTATTTTAATTTTATATTTACAAATATAATATTTAAATCATAAAATGTATATTTTATATCAGAGGCCTGCAGAGGCACCATTTGCACGGCCCGGCCCGGTTTTAAATTTTTTAGGCCCGGCCCGGATTTAAAAATTTAAGGCCCGGCCCGGATTTAAAAATTTCTGGCCCAGCTCGGAATTTTTTAAAATTATATTCGACCTGGTATATACAAAAATTCACCTATGAGGTATTATACCATATTTTTCAGCGAGTATTATCGCTTATTATATAAAAAATACATGTAAAAAGCTAATATTTTGAGAATATTATATTGAATTTATAAAAATTATAAAACTGTTATTTATAAAAATGGATATTTTGATCATATACTATATTTTATATTGCATTTATATAAATAAAAAAATGGTAATAATATTTTGAGCATATACTATATTTTATATTGCATTTTAAAAAAATACTAATATTTAATTTATAAAAATGGAAAATATTTTGAGAATATAATATATTGTATTTAATTTACTATTTAATTTATAAAATAAAAATAAATCGCTATTTAAAAAAATGCATGTATAATAAATAGTATTTTGGAAATATAATCTAATTGCACAATATTAATCAGAGACCTGCAGAGGTACCAATTGCACGGCCCGGCCCGGTTTTAAATTTTTTAGGCCCGGCCCGGATATTTAAAAAAAAATATTATGGCCCGGCCTGGATTTAAGACCCGGCCCGGATATTTTTTAAAAAAATTTTTTACGGCCCGGCCCGGATTTAAAAATTTCAGGCCCGGCTCGAAATTTTTTAAAATTATATTCGACCTGGTATATACAAAAATTCACCTATGAGGTATTTTACAATATTTTTCAGCGAGTATTATCGCTTATTATTTAAAAAATACATGTAAAAAGCTAATATTTTGAGAATATTATATTGAATTTATAAAAATTATAAAACTGTTATTTATAAAAATGGATATTTTGAGCATATATTATATTTTATATTGCATTTATAAAAATAAAACTAATATTCATAAAAATGGTAATAATATTTGTCATATACTATATTTTATATTACATTTTAAAAAAATAAAACTAATATTTAATTTATAAAAATGATAAATATTTTGAGAATATAATATATTGTATTTAATTTACTATTTAATTTATAAAATAAAAATAAATCGCTATTTAAAAAAATGCATGTATAATAAATAGTATTTTGAAAATATAATATAAATTTTTAACAAAAGAAGATAATTGTATTATATAATATTGTAAAAACAAATAATGAAAAATGTTGGATTAAAAACTTTCATGACTCAAGGTAAATATAATAAATGCAATAAATATTTGACAGTTTGCAAAGTAAAAAACCAGCATGATTGACGAAACCCTATACTCAAGAAAGATATTAAAAATTCACAAATTATCATGAAGAAAGAGAAGCATATCCACCTTTTCAGGTTGAAAATTACTTCTTCTTTCTTCAAGAATTCTCCCAGTAGTGGAAAAATTCCGCTCACAGCTTGCACTTAAAGCAGGAATTGCCAATTTTGCTAAAATTGGAAATTCGCTTTGATGAGCCGCCCACCACTCTAACAAATTATCCACCTTAAATGTTTCATCTATTTTTTTATTTATGTAATTATAATATTCATCATCGAGTATTGACATATTACCAGAATTACCATCGCCCCATTTGTCATAAAACGATTCAGTTTGTTTAACAACAGTCGTAATTTGACTGGTCGATGGTATTTCATTTACTTCCTGAGCCTCTTGTAATTTAATATAATCTTTTATATAGTTTTCCGTCATTTTGCGATCTGTCCCTGACTACATACGTAATTGCTTGAATTTGGGACAGAGAAAAAGAGAAATAAAATGATACTTGTGTAAAACAAATTTTTCAATTAAAAAATGATTTATATTAAGTAAAATCAATTTTATTTCTCCTTTTCGCTTTGAAAGGTATTACAAACTTTAAGAAGTGATATTCCTTTATTTGAATGTTTTGGTAAAATATATTCTAAAAATTTAGATATGAATTATAAAAAAATATATTAATAATACTTGAATATTGGGGCTTATTTAAGATATTCCTTTATTTGATTGTTTTGGTAAAATATGTTGTAAAAATTTAGATATGAATTGTAAAAAAATATATTAATACTTGAATAAATTTGCAGGAAATTAATAATTAGATCGATCTGTGGGTTGTTAGGTAGTGTTAACCATCACCCAATATTATATTAATCATAACTATAATATAATATAATCTTATAACCATTAACTCATAATGTAAATATTTTTATAAAAAATATTAAGGCCCGGCCCGGCCCAGGTTTAACAATCTTAGGCCCGGCCCGGATATATTTTTAAAAAATTTTTTTAGGCCCGGCCCGGATATGTTTAAAAAAATTTTATTTAGGCCCGGTCCGGGTATATTTAAAAAATTTAAAAAACGGCCCGGCCGGGTTTAGGGCCGGGCCTGCAGGTCTCTGATATTAATATAATTTATTTTATAATATAAATTTTTAACAAAAGAAGATAATTGTATTATATAATATTGTAAAAAAAAATAATGAAAAATGTTGGATTAAAAACTTTCATGACTCAAGGTAAATATAATAAATGCAATAAATATTTGACAGTTTGCAAAGTAAAAAACCAGCATGATTGACGAAACCCTATACTCAAGAAAGATATTAAAAATTCACAAATTATCATGAAGAAAGAGGAGCATATCTACCTTTTCAGGTTGAAGATTACTTCTTCTTTCTTCAACAATTCTCCCAGTAGTGGAAAAATTCCGCTCATAGCTTGCACTTAAAGCAGGATTTGCCAATTTTGCTAAAATTGGAAATTCGCTTTGATGAGCCGCCCACCACTCTAACAAATTATCCACCTTAAATGTTTCATCTATTTTTTTATTTATGTAATTATAATATTCATCATCGGGTATTGACATATTACCAGAATTACCATCGCCCCATTTGTCATAAAACGATTCAGTTTGTTTAACAACAGTCGTAATTTGACTGGTCGATGGTATTTCATTTACTTCCTGAGCCTCTTGTAATTTAATATAATCTTTTATATAGTTTTCCGTCATCTTGCGATCTGTCCCTGACAACATACGTAATTGCTTGAATTTGGGACAGAGAAAAAAAGAAATAAAATGATACTTGTGTAAAACAAATTTTTCAATTAAAAAATGCTTTATATTAAGTAAAATCAATTTTATTTCTCCTTTTTCGCTTTGTAAATTACCACTTTAAAAAGAGTACAAGAGTCCGACTGTAACTCAACAATAGCTCTGTTAAAATTCTCAAGAATTTTGACTAGATCCTGAAGGATCGGAAAGTCTATAATATAATACTTTTCCGATCCCCCATGTTCTTGAAGAACTTTTATAATTTCTTCATTTTGAGAATAAACCAAATTGAGCATATTGTATTTAGAGTTCCAGCGGACTTCTATATCTTGATAAAGGGCTTTCAAATGCTGGCATTTATTACTTTGTTTTAAATACCCCACTAATATTTTAGTATTATCTATTGTTGATTTTATTAATGGGGCATTACTTTCCAAATATTTGAAGTTAAATGAATTTCTTAAAATTGACAAAAACAATTTAATCGTTCATTTAACTCCAATGCTTTTATAATATTTTTACCTTGGTCTGTAACAAATATTATATTAATAAAATCGTTAGTGTTGAAATTAAAATTATGAAAATTTTTTAATAGTTCATCCTTAACTACTTTGCTAGTCTTTGACA